AGGAAATGGATGATGTTCCAGTATTAAAAACGTCTGCAGGCGGGGCGTGGTGGCTCACACCTGTAATTTCAGCACTTTAGGAGATTGAAGCAAGAGGATAGTTTGAGGACAAGAGTTCAAGACCAGCCTGAGCAACATAGGGAGACCCCCATCTCTACAAAAAATTAAAAAATTAGCCAAGTGTGGTGGCATGCATCATGATCATGCCATTGCACTCCAGCCTGAGTGACAGAGTAAGACCCTGTCTCAAAAAATAAAATAAAAATAAAAACTTCTCCAGTAAAAGTAGCCTTTTTCAGAAAGCAGTCATTACAAGTGGATCACTAAGGAATTTGAAGTTTGCATTAACATTAACTTTTAAAGCCAAATGTCTAGAATAAAAGTAGACAAGACACACTTTACATAAAATTTATAACATTTATTTAGGCAAAAAAAAAAAAAAAATCCCAAAACGAAAATCTGTACACATAACATTAATAATTAAGTGATGTCCTGATTTAAAATATAGCATGATTCATTGTACAGAATACTCCCATTCATCTGGCCATAGTGAAAACAGTGCCTTCAGTCCAGATAATTGAGAGTCTTTGAAATATACACACTTTCCAATGAATTTTTTATATCCTTAGAAAGGAGTTAAACTGTTCTATCAGAATTCAAACAAAAGATAACTTTTCTCACACTCATAAGTCAGAGAGAATTTGACAGTGAGAATTCTACAGAAGTTAGGAATTTCTTAATTTTTATTGTTGCAGATAATCTGAGAGTATAAAGTTTTTAAGGAAAAACAATGCTCTTAAGATCCTGCTTTATTAAAGTGTCTCAGCTTTCATTAGCTAAGTAGCTTCTTCCTTCTAGGCTGCTTAAAATAAGCTTAAAAGGACCCAATTTGAACAGTTTTTCCCAAAATAAGTCCACAATTAAGCACATAATATTAATCAAGTAGATTTATGATTTCCCACAAAATAATTTTGACAAATTTGGATTCTGGAAATATTCTTAATAGCCATTCTGTCTAGCTGTAAAGTTACGCTGTGCTATCCAAAAGAGCTTTAGAGTCATGAAAAGCAGCGCTGATCTTTGCAAAATGTACCCCAAAAAACGGGGAGAGAGAAAAACAGGAAGAAAAGTCTCTTTCTTAGGCTACCAGTTAACAAAGTATCTTAGGTTAAGATTTGGAAACCAAAGAATGCATAATTAGGAGTGTACCATGTCATGCAAAGTCTATGAAATACTAAATAAGGTAAAACAATTACTCATTTAAAGCACAATGAGCAAATTTTCTTATCATACGGCTATTGTCATCACCGGACAAAGGTTGGTTTTGCATTATTCCAAAATAAAACAGTTTGTGAGTGAATACTGCAAATTAAAAACTGCCAATACACAGCAAATGATAAGGACTAAACATCCATTATCCACAAACTCATCTGAAACTGCTACCATGGATTTGAAAGGGAAACCAAAAGTTTGCAAACCTCTCTGGGAGCTGTGTCAAAGTTAGTATTCTGAAGCCCTAGCAATACAAAGTCCCCAAATAAGTAAAATACAGATAAAAGTGGAAGAGCCTACATCAGCTCAAAGTAACATACTTCCTTTAACTTATGCCTTCAGTTTAATAATACTGTTTATACCACTATAAACGTTGTATAATAACCAAATAATGTAAACATATCATTAGAGGGCAGGAGAGGGATGGGTTTCACCATATACGAAGAGTATAAGTTTGTTTTCCCTGCTACCTCTTTTCAACCCTGGGTGCTGCTGTACATTGTTCTTGGGGGTAATGCATTTAAAAACACTAAGCTAAATCTCCGGTAAATTAACCTAATTTAGCACATAAAATATGTTTTCATTAAAATGTGCTCAAAAGGGATAGGAAGATGGCCCGATGTTATGTTGATGCATGGCATAATTAAAAACACAGCTAAGACCAGGCGCCATGGCTCATGCCTGTAATCCCAGCACTTTGGGAAGCTGAGGTGGGAAAATCACTCGAGGCCAGGAGTTCAAGACCAGCCTGGGCAACACAGTGAGACACCATCTCTCTATTTGTTTATTTTTTTAACACAGCCAAATAAGATGACTGGGGAGAAAATAGGTTAACACAAAAGGTCCCACCTGTAAGGGCAACTTCTTAAAGCTAGATATATAGAACTGATGGTTTTAAACATAAAACCTGACTATGTGGAAGTTTGCAAATGAAACATATCATGAAAACAAATTCCCATGCAGCTTTATTCACCTCCACCATTTGTAATCTACTTAAGGTGACTAGTGCCACTATAAGGCATTACTATCCTGGGGTGACAAGAGGCAATATTTATAGTCAATTTCTGACACTGGGGGTCTGATATGATTTTTTAAAATCCTAAACTAAGATCAGTAGCCACGGAGTCATTGGCTTGAGGGTAAACTAATCCCTTATACCACTTGATTTATTTTATTAATTAGTTAATAATGCAGTTAATTTTCAACTGCAAAAAGAAAAAATTATTTTGTGGAGTAGAAAGACCACAGCAATAATTACTTGATGCAAAAAATAAAATGCCTTAATTGTATTTGCTCAAATCTGTTGTTTTACTCAATGATACCAATATGTATTATTATAATCTATTTTTTAAAAATTTTCCTCATTATGCCCTAGAATATCACTATACTCTAAAAAGTCAAATTCCATTTCCTTTAGTAGATTTCCTTACTGTTGCTTGTGGACTGATGTAGTGATATTTTACATTGGAGCCCACCAATGATTTGAACAATGAGTGGTTCAACCCTAGTCTAAACTGTGCTTGAAATAGCACCTCTAAGCCACTGAGAGATAACGCTCAAAGGCACCAATAACAGTTACATTCTGGTCTACAGGAGCAAAAGGGAGGCCTTGTAGATTCTAACTATAGATACTGGCCACTTATGCCTCATAATTCCAATATATACATCCACTGTATTTTAGCCAGATTCAGGACCTTACAGACAATTCTGTGCCTTAATTCTATACACAATTTTAGGAACCATCCCAACTGCGAAGGCACTCAAATTTTTATGTATTTGGGATGTAAGAAATTATTTTGCTTTTAAGACTCAGAAATATCTGGCCACTACTGATGTTTACAAAGTAGGAAATTTAGCCTGTAGTTCCAGCTATTCCAGAGGCTGAGGAGGTAGGATCACATAAGCCCAAGAAGCTGCGGTGAGCTAAGATCGTGCCACTGCACTCCAGCCTAGGTGACAGAGTGAGACTCTGTCTCTACGAAAAGAAAAAAAGTAGGAAAGGCTCCTAAAATCTTAGTCTCTTAAAATCTTAGCTCACTGCAACCTCCACCTCCTGGGTTCAAGTGATTCTCGTGCCTCAGCCTCCTGAGTAGCTGGGACTATAGGCGCACAAAGCCGCCATGCCCAGCTAATTTTTGTGTTTTTAACAGAGACAGGGTTTCACCACGTTGGCCAGGCTGGTCTCGAACTCCTGATCTCAAGTGATCCACCCGCCTTGGCCTCCCAAAATGCTGGGATTACAGGCAAGAGCCACTACGCCCACCCTTGCTTTTAAATATTTTGGATGCTTCATCTATTAAGAAGTTATTCTGAGTAAAGAAGAGATTTACTGTTTTCTGTACACTTTTAGCCATTTCTGAAAAAAAGTTTGTAGAGACAAAAACCTAGCATTAGCCTGTAAAGAAATATGCACTTTTGTCTTTAACAGCATAGAACAGAAACTTGAAGCCAAACTTCTTAAACAGGCTTTCCCTTAACTACACTAGGTAAAAGACCTGGAAATGGTCAACATATCTAGCAATTTCTAAGCTACCACAGGCCATCTCATTTTCTTAACTTTGTCTTAGACATTAACATTCAGAAAAGGAAAAAAAAAAACCTTTTAAAAGAATTCTGTATTTCGTCTGAAATAAACTTAGTCTGTGAAAATTTATCTTATACCTATAAAAATTCCTTAAGCCAATTAAGTCAGCATTAACCCAGTATTTAATATGGTTTTCAGTGACTCTAAATATCTACTTTCTTTTTTGAGTCAGAGTCTCGCTCTGTTGTCCAGGCGCCACCACACCCAGCTAATTTAAAAAAAAAAAAAAAAATTTTTTAGGTAGAGATCAAGTCTCACTATGTTGCCCAGGCTGGTCTTGAACTTCTGGGCTCAAGCAATCCTCCTGCTTCAGCCTCCCAAAGTGCTGGGATTACAAGCATGAGCCACTGCATTTGGACCTAAATACCTACTTTCTTCTTTTTTTTTTTTTTTATTTATTTTATTTTATTTTATTTTTTTTTGAGACGGAGTCTCGCTCTGTCACCCAGGCTGGACTGCGGTGGCCGGATCTCTGCTCACTGCAAGCTCCGCCTCCCGGGTTTACGCCATTCTCCTGGCTCAGCCTCCCGAGTAGCTGGGACTACAGGCGCCCGCCACCTTGCCCGGCTAGTTTTTTGTACTTTTTAGTAGAGACGGGGTTTCACCGTGTTAGCCAGGATGGACTCGATCTCCTGACCTCGTGATCCGCCCGTCTCGGCCTCCCAAAGTGCTGGGATTACAGGCTTGAGCCACCGCGCCCGGCCAATACCTACTTTCTTCTAACTCAATTTTCATTCACATGAAGAAACTCAAAAAAAATTCAAGTCTGATTATTGTGATAATGGTATAAAATGTTTGTCAAAAAATGTCATCAGTGAACTAATAAACTAGCTCCTTTCTAAATTAAAATGCTTCTGAATAATCATTATAATTTAAATATTCCATTTTAAATACCTATTGAAAACACTGGCCATCTATGAAAAAAAAATGTGGTTATCTGCGATTGTAGTAGATTGACCTTATTCACAAAATAAAATTTTAAATGAAAATTAAGTTTCTTGGTGACTTGCTATCTCCCAAGTGCTATTACTGATATAAGTGATTCTTTACTATACTGTATCAGATACCTTAAGGAAAGGTAATTGTCTAAAAAATAATCCATCAAAAATATGTGCTGTTATGCACTGTGAGTAGAGTCATTACATTTAACCACTTAAAAAGTTTAATTCTTTTCTTTCATTTTTGGCAGACGGGGACACTTTCTCCAACATGAACACATTAAGAAGATAGACATATTTTGAACAAGAGATTTTAACTTTTCATGGCAAAATTTACTGGTGTCAATTGTATTTTAACTGAGAGGTTAACACCATGTTGTTGACTCTATTCCACTGAACAAAAATGATTTTGAAATAGAGGAAAAGAATAGCCAGTTTTGACTGGCGATAATTTTTTAAAATCACATTTTCACAACAATACGACATAGGGAGATGTAGACAGTCTTTAACACAGAGTGCTGTAATATTTTATACTGTGGTGCTTGGGGAAATATTCCTAGAGAATAACCAGCAGTCTGTGCAGGAAGCAGCAGTCCATGCTTCTAGGTATAAATATGGAGAACAAGCTTCTGCTCACTGCCTCAAGAGAGGTAGACTCCTGAAGGGTAGCCTGTCTCATTTTAAAATCTACACCATGAAAGCAATTCCCAGTTCCTACACTCCGTTCTCCTTTCATAGTTTTTCTTTCTCATACATCTTTCCACCAGCCATCCAGGCTCCTGCCAGTGATTAGCTTCCACAAGATGATCCACATTTCCCTTCTTTCACACTAAGAAGGACATCTTATAAAAGATACACAGATAGAGAAGAAAGCCATTTTATACAGAAGCAGTATAAAATTTACAACTGAAGCAGTGTCAGAAATCAGGTCAACAGCTTATGTGAAGCTGCAAATTGACTGGAAGGGACTCGAAAAGTCTGGCCTGAGGGTTCGTGCAAACTTTACCATAAAACTGTAGAATCTCAAGCACAAGTAAGTTCAAACACTGAAAGATGTGGAAAATTTCCTAAAAGGCAATGATAAAGGAAGAGACCCTTCTTGACTCATAAGTTAAAAATCACAAGACAAATTAGGGACTGTTCACATGGGCAGTACTATACATTACCAATCCCAAACTGATTTTATGACTCCGGTCATAGAAACCCCCAAAACATCACGGACGGTAAGATATTCCAAATGGACCAATCACAAAAAGGATTCCTGTAATTCAATTATCCAATACTTATGGCTATCAATTTAGTCTGGCTTGGGGCTGTTTTTTACAGGGAGGTGGCCTCCCATGGCGCACAATGTGTTTTTCTAAGCTATCCAGAATGGCCACAGCAATCTGTTGGACATGGGGATCAGTATGTTCATGATCTTTGATGTTGTATAAATGCTGCAGTCCTCCTTCTTCAATCAGCATGCTGCAATACCTTGAAGCTGGAAAAAAAAAAAAAAAAAAAAAACACCACAAAACAGGAGAAATAGCTTTTCTTAAAACACTTAAAATTATTCCACAAAAAAATGACTTCTAGGAGCCATTTTTTTTAGGTGTTTTGTTATTGATTACTAACATGTTACAGCTTGATAAAAACCTCTATACTGAGTTATGTCTACAGTGCAAGGCCTACACATTCAATCAATAAATAGCTAGCTTGCTTTTTCTAACCTCAAGACATACACAATCTGTATTAAAAAAAATAAAAACAATCTTAACTACCTTATCTTTGACCCAAAATCACAGGTAAGTGTTGTTATATTTTTATGCATTTCCTATGCTTTTTTTTTTTTTTTTTTTGCTTTTTTTTTCAGACAGAGTCTTGCCCTGTTGCCCAGGCCCGAGTACAGTGGTGCAATCTCGACTCACTGCAGCCTCCGCCTCTGGGGTTCAAGCAATTCTTGTGCCTCAGCCTCCCGAGTAGCTGGAAATACAGGCACACGCCACCACCCCTGGCTAATTTTTTTATTCTTAGTAGAGATGGGGTTTTACCATGTTGTGTAAACTGGTCTCAAACTCCTGCCCTCAAGCAATCCTCCCGCCTCAGCCTCCCAAAGTAATAGAATTACAAGGCATGACCCACAGTGCCAGGCTGCATTTCCTATGTTTTTTAAAAACCTAATGGCAGTCATACTGCACATACAATTTTTTAATTTTTGAAATATTTTCTTTGCCTTTTTTATTTTTTTTAAGACAGTCTCATTCTGTCACCCAGGCTGGGGTGATCATGGCTCATGCCCAGCGGTGTGATCATGGCTCACTGCAGCTTGCTGTGTTGCCCAGGCTGGAGTCCAATGGCACAATTTTGGCTCACTGCAACCTTTGCCTCCCGGGTTCAAGCAATTCTCTTTCCTCAGCCTCCTGGGTAGCTGGGACTGTGGGCACCAGCCACCACACTTGGCTAAATTTTTGTATTTTTGGTAGAGGCGGGGTTTTACGAGGCTGGCCAGGCCGGTCTCAAACTCCTGACCTTAAGTGATCTGCCTGCCTCAGCCTCCCAAAGTGCTGGGGTTACAGGTGTGAGCCACCACACCCAGCCAGGTTAAAACATTTTAATACAAATAGAAGTGAATTCCATTTAAATATAAACAAAATAAGCCCACAAGGTAGGAACCTAAAATATCTTGAGTTGGAGACCAAATATTCTAACATTCCCCAAATTACAGTGCATTTTAGAAGAAATTATTTAGGGCTGTCATTCCATAGAGTAAAATCAAAATAACACTAATACCTAAAAGTATTGACAAAAATAAATACTTGTATGAAAATGAACTATTATTATTATTATTATTATTTTTTTTTTTCAGACAGAGTCTTGCTCTGTCGCCCAGGCTGGAGTGCAGTGGCGCGATCTCGGCTCACTGTAACCTCCACTTCCTGGTTCAAGTGATTCTCCTGCCTCAGCCTCCCAAGTAGCTGAGAGTACAGACGTGTGCCACAACACCCAGCGAATTTTTTGTATATTTAGTAGAGATGGGGTTTCACCGTGTTAGCCAGGATGGTCTCGATCTCCTGACCTTGTGATCCACCCGCCTTGGCCTCCCAAAGTGCTGGGATTACAGGCGTGAGCCACCACGCCCAGCCGAAAATGCACTATTATTTATTAATTATGTTTTATTTTCTCCTACTGAACTGTGAAAGGTCCATTCCTTGAGTCATCAGGAAAGGAACCTACAGATTAGAGACTGGGAATATTATCGGATCAACTGTTAAGAAACTCAGGAGTCCTCAGAACCTGTGGGTACAGTAAAAGGAAAAAGACTTTAGGGGAGAGACAGTTTAATGTGGCTAAAGAGGCAGTTTTCGATTCATGAGTGAACAACTCTGCTTCTGGGTAACTGAGGAGGAAGGGCCGGATAAGCCTCCAGGTGGAAGTTCAGGCGTACAAGGCAGCTTTCTCGGTCACATCCCATTCACCAAATTACTCTTCTCTATCTGACACAGAAGAGCTTTTACTGCATTGATTTTTTGTGGTATGCTGTGAGTTTTCATCAAAGAATACAAGAGAAGGAACCGGGCGCGGTGGTTCATGCCTGTAATTCCAGCACTTTGGGAGGCCAAGGCGGGCGAGTTCGAGACCAGCCTGGCCAACATAGCGAAACCCAGCCTCCACTAAAAATATAAAAATTAGCCAGGCATGGTGGCACGTGCCTGTAGTCCCAGCTACTCAGGAGGCTGAAGCAGGATAATTGCTTGAATCTGGGAGGTGGAGGTTGTGGTGAGCTGAGATCGTGCCACTGTACTCCAGCCTGGGCAACAGAGCAAGACTCTGTCTCAAAAAAAAAAAAAAAAAAAACCCAAGAGAAAAATCTCACAAAATGTTACTACTTCTGCTATAAGGATATCGGTAAAAACAACTCTCCCATATCCTATATAAGACCCTTTATAGTTTGTCCCCTATTAATGTCCAATAGAAGAAATTTAATTCGTAGTTAACTGCTCATAAAAAGTTTACTCTCCCCTCCCTGTCTCCCCCGACAAGGATGTAGAACATTTTTTCTCTCTTATATGGAGAACCATGTCGCTTTTTACTTGCAGCAGAGCCACAAAAATCCCTATGCATGGCCTACAAGTCTACATTTGACTATTTCCCTCTATCCTAGAATTTTTTTTTTTTTTCTTTTTGAGACAGAGTCTCACTCTGTCACCCAGGCTGGAGTGCATGGTGCCATCACAGCTCATTGCAGCCTTGACTTTCCGGGCTCAGATGATGCTCCCACCTCAGCCTCCCAAGCAGCTGGGACTACCAGGAGCACACCACAACGCCCGGCTAATTTCTTTTTTTTTTTTTTTTTTTGAGACGGAGTCTCGCTCTGTCGCCCAGGCTGGAGTGCAGTGGCCGGATCTCAGCTCACTGCAAGCTCCGCCTCCTGGGTTCACGCCATTCTCCTGCCTCAGCCTCCCAAGTAGCTGGGACTACAGGCGCCTGCCACCTCGCCCGGCTAATTTTTTGTATTTTTTAGTAGAGACGGGGTTTCACCGTGTTAGCCAGCATGGTCTCGATCTCCTGACCTCGTGATCCGCCCATCTCGGCCTCCCAAAGTGCTGGGATTACAGGCTTGAGCCACCGCGCCCGGCCACGCCCGGCTAATTTCTTTTAAATCTTTTATAGAAACTAGGTTTCACCATGTTTCCCAGGCTGGTCTCAAACTCCTAGGCTCAAGTGATCCACTCACCTCAACTTCCCCAAATGCTGGGATTATAGGCATGAACCATTGTGCCCGGCCCCTGTAATTTTTGAAAAACTATTTTTCCTTACTTCTAATTAAAACTAAAAATAGGCCAGGCGCAGTGGCTTACACCTATAAGCCCAGCACTTTGGGAGGCCGAGGTCAGCAGATCACCTGAGGTCAGGGGTTCAAGATCAGGCCAGCCAAAATGGTGAAACCCTGTCTCTACTAAAAATACAAAAATTAGCCAGGTGTGGTGGTGCAGGCCTGTAGTCCCAGCTACTCTGGAGGTTGAGGCAGGAGAATCGCTTGAACCTGGGAGGTGGAGGGTGCAGTGAGCCAAGATTGTACCACTGCACTCCAGCCTGGGTGACAGAGTGAGTGAGACTCCATCTCAAAAAAAAAAATATATATATATATATATATACACACACACACACACACACACACACACACTTTACTATTAAAGTGGTTCTGTGTATTTCTTGTGTCAAATCAGTTGTGGAATGAGTTTATATTAATAACTAGGCCATGCTTGATGGCTGACGCCTGTAATGCCAGCACTTTGGGAGGAAGAGGCAGGCGGATCGCTTGAGCCTAGGAGTTTGAGACCACCGTGGCCAACACGATGAAACTCCGTCTCTACACACACACACAAAAAAGGCAGGTATGGTGACATGCACTTGTAGTCCTAGCTACAAGCTGAGGCGGGAGGATTATCTGAGCCCCGACGTCAAAGCTATGGTGAGCTGTTACTATGCCACTGCACTCCAGCTCCAGTTTGATAAGAGAGAGACCCTGTCTCTAAATAAATAAATAAGAGTTGCATCGCAGCTTTGAAAGAATAATATAGAACCTGATTCAAACACTTTGCTTCTTCAGAAACCATGGGTGCTGGGAGCGACATCTTGAACAACAGAATTTTGGGTGAATGAGAATTGGGTACTGGAATGTACCATAAACAGTGGAACTACTTAAGACCTTTTACTCAACAAATGGACTCACTGTAGTCTCCTATCTTTAAATTCCTTGAGGTGAGAACCGTGTCTCATTCACCACTGTCATTCAGTGCCTAGTTACACCATGCTCATTCTAAAAGAATATCTTAAGTTGGCCGGGCATGGTGGCTCACACCTGCAATCCCAGCACTTTGGGAGGCCGAGGCGGGCGGATCACCTGAGGTCAGGAGTTCGAGACCAGCCTGGCCAACATGGTGAAACTCCATCTCTACTAAAAAAAAAAAAAAAAAAAAAAAAAAAAAGGCCAGGCGCGGTGGCTCACGCCTATAATCCCAGCACGCTGGGAGGCTGGGGCAGGCGGATCATGAGGTCAGATCGAGACCATCCTGGCTTACACAGTGAAACCCGGTCTCTACTAAAAATACAAAAAATTAGCCGGGCGTGGTGGTAGGCGCCTGTAGTCCCAGCTACTTGGGAGGCTGAGGCAGGAGAATGGCATGAACCCGGGATGCGGAGCTTGCAGTGAACCGAGATTGCGCCACTGCACTCCAGTCTGGGCGACAGAGCGACACTCCGCCTCAAAAAAAAAAAAAAAAAAAATTAGCGGGACATGGTGGCAGGTGCCTGATATCTCAGCTACTCAGGAGGCTAAGGCAGGAGAATCGCTTGAACCCAGGAGGCAGAGGTTGTAGTGAGCCGAGATCGCACCATTGCACTCCAGCCTGGGAACAAGAGTGAGACTTTGTCTCCAAAAAAAAAAGAATACCTTAAGTTTATAACCTAAGATTTCCTTATACTTTAAGTTAGTGTTCTTAAAAATCACTTTAATACACAATTTAGAAATATCTTTCCTGGGAAATGAGAATTTCACTTAAAGAAAAAAAACACAGCTCTCTTTTTTTGGTACATACGATTCTTGCTGCAGACATGCTGCATGGCCCAAACTGCCCATAGCTGGACTCCTGGTGTTGTGAAACATCCAAGTAATGGGAAAAATGGATTAAAGGACCTAAGGGTTCAAAAGAAAAGAATCAAAGTTACATCCCATACTTAGCGTAATTCCCTAAAGCAGTGATTCCTAAACTTTTCATTTTCAACATTTTATCCTATTATATTTAGACTAATATAAATGAGCTATAGAATATCTTTTCTTTGTCTTAACCATTTCAGAGAAGACTGCATTCAGACATGATTCAGTACAGAAGATGGAAGGTGATTAGAATATGGTACTAAAAGAGAAAAAATTTTTCCTAAAGCACCTTCTCAGTCTTTTTTTTTTTTTTTTTTGAGACGGAGTCTCGCTCTGTTGCCCAGGCTGGAGTGCAGTGGCCGGATCTCAGCTCACTGCAAGCTCCGCCTCCCGGGTTTACGCCATTCTCCTGCCTCAGCCTCCGGAGTAGCTGGGACTACACGCGCCCGCCACCTCACCCGGCTATTTTTTTGTATTTTTTAGTAGAGACGGGGTTTCACCATGTTAGCCAGGATGGTTTCGATCTCCTGACCTCGTGATCCGCCCGTCTCAGCCTCCCAAAGTGCTGGGACTACAGGCTTGAGCCACCGCGCCTGGCACCTTTTCAGTCTTAAAGATACACATTTGAAGATAAGTAGTCCTTGGTTTGGAAACTAAGAAATACAGAAATTAGGTGATAACTAACTAGTAGAACACTATGAAAAAGGTGTATAATTATCCCTTCTATTTTCTACTGGTCAGAATAAAAATAGGTAGAACGTGCTGGGCGCGGTGGCTCACGCCTGTAATCCCAGCACTTTGGGAGGCTGAGGCGGGCAGATCAGGAAGGTAGGAGATCGAGACCATCCTGGCTAACACAGTGAAACCCTGTCTCTACTAAAATACAAAAAACTTAGCCAGGAGCGGCGGCGGGCGCCTGTAGTCCCAGCTACATGGAAGGCTGAGGCAGGAGAATGGCGTGAACCCGGGAGGCGAAGCTTGCAGGGAGCCGAAATCACACCACTGCATTCCAGCCTGGGCTACAGAGGGAGGCTCCGTCTCAGAAAAAACAAAAACAAAAACAAAAACAAAGGTAGAACATAAGTTGGGGAAGTAAAAAAATGTTGGCAACATCAGCATTTAAGAACCAAACAAAAAAAATAAGTTGAATAAAAATTAAATACTTCAGGTAATTAGTAATTTAATTATCAAGTTATCCAATTACAAAGAGGCATCCAGTATGCACTTTCTTTATTTTTGTTATTTATTTTTATCATTTATTTATTTATTTAGTTACTTACTTGAGACAGGGTCTCGCTCTGTTGCACAGGCTGGAGTGCAGTACAGCGATCTCAGCTCATTGCAGCCTGAACCTACCAGGCTCAAGTGATCCTCCCACCTCAGCCTCCCAAGCAGCTTGGACTACAAGGACGTGCCACCACAACTAGCTAATTTTTTATTTTTTGTAGAGACAGGGTCTCACTGTGTTGTCCAGGCTGGTCTCAAACACCTAAGCTCAAGTGATCTAACTGCCTTGGCCTTCCGAAGTGGTGGGACTACAGGTGCATGCCATCATGCCCAGGTCTTTTTATTTTTTAGTAGAGATGAGGTCTCATTATGATGCCTAGGCTAGTCTCCAACTCCTGAACTCAAGTGATACTACCACCTCAGTCTCTCAGAGTGTTGGGATTATAGGTGTGAGCCACCATGCCAGGCCCAGTATGCACTTTAATAAATTATTACAAACTGTTTCCCCAACCAAATCTGGTGTTATTCCTTTTTTTTTTTTTTTTAAGAGTCTCATTCTGTCACCCAGGCTGCAGTGCAGGGGCACCATCTTGGCTTATAGCAACGTCCACCTCCCAAGTTCAAGCGATCCTCATGCCTCAGCCTCCCAAGTAGCTGGAATTACAGGTGTGCACCACCATGCTCCACTAACGTTGTTTTTTCATTAGAGACAGGGGTTTCAACATGTTGGCCAAGCTGGTCTTGAACTCCTGGACTGAAGTGATCCACCCACCTCAGCCTCCCAAAGTGCTGGGATTACAGGCGTAAGCCACAACACCTGGCCAGAATCTGGTCGTCTTCTAATTCCTTCAATGTGTCATTTTATTTTAGACCTTCCTGCATTAATATGATGCTTTTTCTTCCTAAAAATCTCCTGCCTCTCCTTATCTTTCAACACTCAGGTCACAACTCACTTCCTCTGAAAGGTGTGTGTGTGTGTGTGTGTGTGTGTGTGTGTGTGTGTGTGTGTGTGTGTGTGTGTGTGTGTGTGTGTGTGTGTGTGTGTGTGTTTTTTGTGGTGTGTGTAAGGTGTGTTGGTGTGTGTGTGTGTGTGTGTGTGTGTGTATTTACATTTGGAGTCTTGCTCTGTCACCCTGGCTGGAATGCAGTGATGCAGTCATAGCTCACTGCAGCCTCAAACTCCTGGGCTCAAGTGATCCTCCCACCTCAGTTTCCTGAGTACTGGGACTACAGGTACGTGCTACCCCACTCGGCTTCACCTTTAATTTCATAACATTCTATGGACATCTAGCATAACGGTATTTTATCTGATCCACATTTGATCTCCCTCACAAGGATATAAAATTCTTGTGTGCAGCCACCATGTCTTTGTTCATCTTTGAATTCCAAGAGCACAGAACAAATTCCTAGCACTTGTCTTCAATAAATGTGAAATGAAGGAAACATGAAGTATGATAGGTGGTAGAAAAAAGTCAAAATACTTTGCTTCTCTTAAAGCCAATACTTTTGGCTGGGTGTGGTGGCTCACGCCTGTAATCCCAGCACTTAGGGAGGCCCAGGCAGGCAGATCACTTGAGGTCAGGAGTTCAAGACCAGCCTGGCCAACATGGTGAAACCTCATCCCCACTAAAAATACAAAAATCAGCTGGGTGGGGCAGCGGGCGCCTGTAATCCCAGTTACCCAGGAGGCTGAGGCAGGGGAATTGCTTGAACATGGGAGGTGGAGGTTGCAGTGAGCCAAGATCATGCCACTGCACTCCAGCTGTAGTGATGGAGTGAAACTCTGTCTCAAAATAAATAAATAAATAACCAACCAATACTGAGGTGCCTGAGGGAAAACACATGCATCCAGTAGGAATGACTCTTAGGAATGATCTCTGGACTAGGTTACTGGTTTACTGTTAATTATGATACTAATTACCTGTATGCTACCATCTCGCACTCTGGAGTTGGCCATTTCAAAATAGCTGAATGCTAGAAGACAAAAGACACACAAGAAAGGATTACAATATTTATTTAGCACTGCATTATTTACTACATTATGAGGCTTTCATAGTTTAACCACTATGAATGTCTTTTGTTGGCACGAATGACCCTACCAAATCATCCAGCAGAGAATTCCTCTGGCTACGACTCAATGTCCAAGCTTGTTCACCTCTGGATATTAAATGGGCAATAATTCCAGCTGCAAAGTAACTGACTTCCACTTCCACACTGTGTAGAAGACTACTGATGTGGTCTATAAAATCTTTCCACATTAATTCAGAATGCAATTCTTGTACTTCAGCTATATTGTTCTGGAAAAAAAAAGAAGATATAAAAATTAATGTAATACGTAGAGTAAATGGTTAAGATAATGGTTTTTAGGCCCTGGACAACAGGCAATTCAGGAAGGTGAGAGAAAAGTATTTCCCTGAGAGAAAGTATTCAAATGAGGGCAGTTTACAGACTGCAATGAAGGTAAGAGGAAGCCAAAGAGAAAGTAGTAGTTTTGTTGAAACAGAGATCACAGTTCAGGGTGGTCAAGCAGCAAAACTCTGTAGAACGGAGTGCTGGAAAGGACAAAGCTCCACACTCAAAGACAGAGCACACATGACCTGCACCCCAAATCTCTGGCTGAGTAATGACAAGGATGAAACTCCAGGAGGCTAGAAAAGGAACTACCAGAAAGTAGTACATGAGGCCGGGCGCGGTGGCTCAAGCCTGTAATCCCAGCACTTTGGGAGGCCGAGATGGGCGGATCACGAGGTCAGGAGATCGAGACCATCCTGGCTAACACAGTGAAACCCCGTCTCTACTAAAAAATACAAAAAACTAGCCGGGCGAGGTGGCGGCGCCTGTAGTCCCAGCTACTCGGGAGGCTGAGGCAGGAGAATGGCGTGAACCCGGGAGGCGGAGCTTGCAGTGAGCCGAGATCCGGCCACTGCACTCCAGCCTGGGCGACAGAGCGAGACTCCGCCTCAAAAAAAAAAAAAAAAAAGAAAGTAGTACATGAACAAATCCCAAAGTCACACAGGGATAGTAGTAGTTCACATTTCCACTAGCCAGACTCGAGACCTCATGATAAGCAAAGTATTTGATAGTAGTAGGGCTACATTATATATGAGCCGTAAAGTCTGATAAGACGCCACTCTAACAAAACAAATAAACAGGACTGGGTGTGGTGGCTCATACCTGAGAGGTCAGGAGTTTAAGACCAGCCTGGCCAACATGGAGAAAGCCCGTCTCTACTAAATATACAAAAATTAGCCAGGTGTGGTGGTGCACACCTGTAATCCCAGCTACTTGGGAGGCTGAGGCATGAAAATCACTTAAACCCAGGAGGCAGAGGTTACAGTGAGCTGAGATCACACCACTGCACCCCAGCCTGGGAGACAAAATGAGATGCCATCTCAAAACAAACAAACCAAAAATGGCTGGGCACAGTGGCTCACGCCTATAATCCCAGCACTTTGAGAGGCTGAGGCAGGCGGATCACCTGAGGTCAGGAGTTCGAGACCATCCTGGTCAACATGGAGAAACCCCGTCTCTACTAAAAAAACAGAAAAATTAGCTGGGCGTGGTGTCATGTGCCTGTAATTCCAGCTACTTGGGAAGCTGAGGCAGGAGAATTGCTTGAACCTGGGAGGCGGAGGTTGCAGCGAGTGGAAATCGTGTCACTGCACTCTAGCCTGGGCAACAGAGCGAGACTCCATCTCACAAAAAATAAAAAATAAAATAAAATAACACATAAACAAGCTTTAAGAGGAGCAACTTGATCTGCAAGTAACTGCATGCAAGAACAAAGTATAAGACTCTTTAGAGAAAAATAATACCTAGCAATCACCAATTTACATTTCACAAGGACCAGCATCCAATAAAAAAATTACCAGGCATACAAAGGGGCAGAAAAATATGATACATAACCAGGAGAAAAATCAACCCATAGAAATGGACTAAAAAATAACAGAGATAATAGAATTAGCGGACAAGGACTTAAAGCAGCTATTATAAATATTATAAATATAATTCCAGATGAAATGCAGACATAAACATGAAGGCAGAAAATGAAGATATAAGAAAGACCTAAATGTAACTTATAGAAATAAAAAAAAGCTAAATATCTGAAAAGCAAAATATATTGGATGAGATTAACAGCAGATTGAGATGCTTCCCGAAAAACAATCAGTGGACTAAACAACAGAGAAATAAAAAGCATCTATGGCAGGGCATGCTGGTTCACACCTGTAATCCCAGCACTTTGGGAGGTTGAGGTGGGAGGATCACTTCAGGCGAGGAGTTCAAAACCAACCTGGGCAACATAGGGAGACCCTGTCTCTAATCACACACACAAAAAGAAATACAAACCATCCAAATCAAAGTACAGAAGAAAAAATCAAACTGAGGAAAAAAGCCAATAGAGGAGTTTTGGGACCTGTGGGATAATGTTAAGTCTAACATGCTTATAACTGAAGTCATAGAAGAAGCAGAGAGTAGAGAGGGTATAAAAAAGGTATTTGAAGAAATAATGGCCAAAATTTTTGCAAAATGTGATAAAAATTATAAATCCAAAGATTCAACAGAAAAAAAGTGTCCACTTAGACTTCAATAGCCAACCAAAAATTTATCATTCAAAAAATCAAAAGCAAAATAAAAAACTTTGTTAGGTAAACACCACCAGAGTGAAAAGTCATTGCCAGCACACCTATAGGACAATAAATGTAAAAAAAGAATAGAACGAGAAATGTGAGTAAATATGAAAGATAAATTTCTCTTTTTCTTTTTTTTTTTTTTTTGAGATGGAGTCTTGCTCTGTCGCTTAGGCTGGAGTGCAATGGCAGGATCTTGGCTCACTGCAACCTCCACCTCCTGGATTCAAGTGATTCTCCAGCCTCAGCCTCCGAGTACCTGGGATTACAGGCAGCCACCACCATGACCGGCTAATTTTTATATTTTTAGTAGAGATGGGGTTTCGCCATGTTGGCCAGGCTGGTCTCGAACTCCTGACCTCAGGTGATCTGCCCACCTTGGCCTCCCAAAGTGTTGGGATTACAGGCGTGAGCCACCGTGCCCAGCCAATTTCTCATTTTTAAATTGAGGATTGATGAGCACTCCTGCTTCTGGCCATGGTGGAGTAAAAACAGTCAGATTTAAACATCTGCCTGAAACAACTGAAAAATCCAAATAAACATGAAAAAACAATCTCAAGATACTGGCCACAAGCAATAAAGGACACTGACTCTTAGTGTCCTTTACTAGATGGAAAACAAAATGAGCTACTGCCTTGAAAAAGTTTCCAGGCGGTAGCACAGGGATACAGACCTGAAAGAGAGCTCAGTAGACTGAACAGAGTAGGAGATGAGGTGAACAGTCCACAGAAACGAAGGTAACTCACAGGACAGAACACCAGGGAGAAGAGAACTTGCAAACAAAGCGAGTCCAGCGATCTGCAGAGTCCCACTCCATTCAGCAGAGTAATGATAACAAAATGAACACAAGGAAGATACCTGAGGGCAGGAAAAGAACCATCTAAAGAGTTAGAGAAAAGTGCGTAGTGCTCACAGAGGGCTGCTTGTTCTCATCACCCAGCATAGAAAAACCTTTCATTCACAAGGCACTGGGTAGAGTCCTCAGGAATGTCTTGTTGCAGTAGTAGAGAATAATTAGCCCTAGCCTGACCACTGCTCTGGAACCTCCTAATAAATCATAAAAAGCAAGACCCACAGTGATCAAAATGTTTAAAAGTAAGTTAACTGCATCCCAGAACAAAGTTCAAGAATATTCATAGAAAAACAAAAATATTCAGCAACCAAGAAGGTAAAATTCACAAAGTCTGGCATTCAATCAAAAACTACCAAGCAGGATGGGAGAAAATATTTGCAAGTCATATATCTGGTAAGGGATTAATATCCAGAATATATAGAGAACTCTTAAAATACAACAACAAAAAACAAACAACCCAATTTAAAAATAGACAAAGGAATTGAATAGATATTTCTCCGAAGAAGATATACAAATGGCCTATAAACCCATAAAAATATACTCAACACCACTTATCATTAGAGAAATGCAAATAAAAACTACAAGATACTATCTCACACCCATTAGAATGGCTACTATTAAAAAAAAAAACAGAAAATAACAAGCGGTGAGAGTGTGGAGAAATTGGAACCCTTGGACACTATTGGTGGGAATGCAAAACGGTACAGCTGCTGTGGAAAACAGTATGGTAGTTCTTCAAAATTTAAAAATAGAATTATCACATGATACAGTAATTCTATTTCTGGAACTATACCCCACAAAATTCAAAGTAGAGTCTTAAAGAGATATTTGTGACTGGGCACGGTGACTCATACTTGTAATCCCAGCACTTTGGGAGGCCGAGGCAGGCGAATCGCCTGAGGGGAGTTCGAGACCAGCCTGACCAACAGGGAGAAAACCCGTCTCTACTAAAAATACAAAATTAGCCAGGCATGGTGGCGCGTGCCTATAATCCCAGCTACTCAGGAAGGTTGAGGCAGAAGAATTGCTTGAACCCGGGAGGTGGAGGTTGTCGTGAGATATCTGTACACTCATCTTCATAGAAGCATTATTCACAATAGCAAAACCATGGAAGCAACCCGAGTATCCAACAAATGGATGGATAAGGAAAATGTGGTCTATATATACAATGAAAATTTTTTTTTCTTTTTTTGAGATGGAGTCTCGCTCTCACCCAGGCTGGAGCGCAGTGGCACAATCTCGGCTCACTGCAAGCTCTGCCTCCTGGGTTCACGCCATTCTCCTGCCTCAGCCTCCCGAGTAGCTGGGACCACAGGCGCCCGCCACCATGCCCGGCTAATTTTTTGTATTTTTAGTAGAGATGGGGTTTCACTGTGTTAGCCAGGATGGTCTCGATCTTCTGACCTCGTGATCCACCCACCTCGGCCTCCCAAAGTGCTGGGATTACAGGCGTGAGCCACCGCGCCCGGCCTATATATACAATGAAATTCTGACATACACTACAACATGGATGAACCATGAGGACAATACTGTAAGTGAAGTAAGCTAGTTACACGACAAATACTGTATGATTCCACTTACATGAAGTAGTTAAGGAGTTAAAATCATAGAGACAGAAAACAGAATGGTGGTTATGAGGGGCTGCAGAGAGTGGGGGAATGGAATAGTATTGTTTAATGGTTATAGACTTTCAGTTTTACAAGATGAAAACAGTTACAGAGATAAGTGGTAGTGATGGTTCTACAACATTATGAACATATTTATTACCACTGAACAATACACTTAAAAATGGTTAAGACGGTAAATTTTACGTTCT